ACTGCTTTGCTTATTTTTTTAATTATAACTTATTAGCATATTTTGAAATTAAATTTAATTTTTTTATTAAATATTTAAGAAATCTAATATTGTAAAAGAAATTAAATATATATTTTTTATTTTTAAATAAAATAACTGTTTTTATTAATTGATATATTTATAGCTTAACTAAATGTGTCAACAAGACAAACACAAAATTAAAAATTTTATGATATTAATTGAATGATCAAATGATCTCAAAATTTGGCTTGAGATAACGTTTATCTTGCAAAAGGTATGCCGATGATAGCCTTTTGAGTTTTGACTAAAAAGTTAGTTGGATTGTCTCATGAGTTGTTAGATTGAAGTAGTAAATAAGTTAAAATTTTAATACATAATAGTAAATAAAATTAAACTAGAAATTCATACATAATAGTTTTATTTTAATTAAAATTATTGTTTGATTAAATTTATATAGAGCTCGACCAGACCTCCATTAATCTATTCCAGACTTCTGCCGAACTCCGTCAGACCTCCGTCAAACTTCTCCCTGACCACCGCTTGATCGCTAACCATCGTCGGACCACAACCCGATCGCCAACCACTGCCGAAACACCGCTCGGCCGCCAACCTCCGCCAAACCACCGTCTAGCCATCGATCTCCATCGAACTACTACTTGACCATTGTCAGACCACCGCCTGACCGCTAACCCCACCCAGACCACTTTCGGCCATCGACCATATTCGAATTCCACCAATCTATCAATCTTTGTCGGCCTTTCGCCATACTACCATCTGACCGCCTGACTTACACTCGACCGACACTTAACATCGATACAACCACCATCAAACTTCTACCCAACTCTCCAAACTATTATAATTTCACCGCCTCTAAATTAATTGACTTATCAATCTTCATAATTCACTCAAATTTATTAGAATCTTTTCATTTGAGCTTGGCCCAATGATTTTCCTTTTTTGGATTTTCTACTTAAACATTTTTCTATTTTTTTTTCCGCTCTCTCTCCAAGTATCTAGTGGGATAAAGGCTTGATGTTGTTGTTGTTGTTGTTGTTCTCTCTCCAAGTATCTCTTTGTGTGCCAAGCATCCATACATCACTAAGATGAAAAATTCACTCTCTACCACCGTGAATATACTAGCCCGCAACAAAAACAAAAACACAGCACTTCCAATTCATAAGCTAATTATATAATTAAGTAAACCCAATCCTAAAAAATACAATAAACAGTGCTTGCCAAATTAACGACTAATTAGCTGATCATTCGACAGTCGTTACTATCAAAAAGAGTGCACTAAACAAACACATCTAAATACTCTTCTTCATCTAAACTTGACCTGATGTGGCAGACAGAGACTACTAACAGCCTGCTTGAAGAAAACAATGGTACAATAAGTTCAGAAAATTACCATCACACCAATACGCACAAATCACTTAACCAGTTTTGCAATTACTTGACAGATCCCTGCTAGGAACAATAAATGCAAATATGGCTAGCAATCAGCCATCACATTCCCTCATTTATGTATCTGATATTTAACTTAAGCCTAAAGCCTATATACAGAAGCAACACCGTCTGCTTTTATCAATCACAATTCCATATTCAGTACACCATCTAGCCAGATGGTCTTATTTTGAAAACCCCCCAATTTCTATTCCTTACACCAACTAACCAGCCAAAGAAAGCGCAGCAGAGCAAACAATAAACCGCTAACAGACACAACAAAGCAGCATCTTGGTTAACCTAGCTTCTTCCTCCTCCATCTCCTACTCAAAACTGGCAAGAAGAACCAAGACTATGCCTCCGTCCAGCTCTCTTACACCTGCGACCGCAGAATGCGCCATGAAGTAGCTCCTGGAACTTCTCAAGGAATGCTCCCCACTCTTCCTCCCCCATGTCAGCCAAGCTCACAAAGCTTGCACTTGTCGGCAACCGCTCCTTTAAGCTCCTACTCCAACCTTGAAGGCTAGTTTTGCCCTTTGGTGATATGGATAGCTTGGAAGCACAAAGAGCTTGTAAGGCATTGGCCTCTTCTGCCTCGCCATCTTGGTTATCCTCCTCTTGTTCTTCATCTATCTCTTCCAAGCTCTCATCTAATTTTGACAGAGGGTTTCTGGAGATACCCCCTCGGATGCCAAAAAGATAGCCTGGTGGAGTCTTGGGCATGCTAAGGTCGTCAGTCTCTTCACAATCAATATCAAACTGAAATTCTTCCACCAAGTGAGTTTCTTGGTGAAACACCTCTACATCACAAAGTAACTTTCTGGTCTCAATACACAAAACCTCTAACTCACTTGGTTCTTCCTCTCTCACTGTGAAATGCCTACTCATCATTTCACCAATATCTGAGAGGCAAAGCCCGAATGCAGCTGCTTCCTTGAGGAATGTGGTGCAGAGGACAAGCACTCGAATGCATGCTTCACGGATCATTGGTAGTTCCAGCCGTAGCATGTCAGAATCTCTGACGGGATCAAGCTTAGCAATGTACTCGAGCTCCTCGTCAGAGAAAGGGATTGATGCCTGAGGCCAGTGGATCCACTCAAAATATGGATCATCCAAGGTTTCTGGAAGACAGAGACCATGATCGATGGGGATGAGCTCCACTTGACCACCAAACTTGGCAGCCCCGTCTTTAAGCTTCCTAACTAGTAGATTCCCGGCATGCCTATCTGTGTTGAAAATTCGAACATCAAGTATCCCAATCCTGTGCACAGCAGCAACTGGAAAAACCGAGGTGCCATGGTCACCAGCATCGAAGTCATGAGGTATAAACTGCTGGAATGAAGCAATCTTGCTAATAGGCTTCGGCTTCCTGTTCTGAGGTTTGCTAATATTACAAGTGACGCCTTCATTCACATTGAACACTGAGTGGGTGATCTTCACAAGAGCAGTAGGGGGGACATTTGCAAAGTGATCATAGTCAAGAAGGTACGCCGCAACCTCTCTGAACCCAGTCTCCCCAACTCGCACAGACTTCTTCAATCCTGGCTGACCAAGAGCTTTCCCAATAAACCCCTTTGGGTTATTTGGAGCGAATGGCTCCTCATCAGTTGGTTTAACAATTGCAATTCTCTCGCCCTTGCAGTTTCTGAAGTAGTAGGCACCACCAAGACCATTATGAATAGGTATAGGATCCACAACATTTTGTATAGCCTTCACAACGCTCTTCACAAGCTGTTTTGTTATTGAGTGATGCCTCGGGCATCCTATTATTTCAATCGGACCACTCCTATCTCTATGTTGGAGATCCTTTCCTGTTGGCGAAAGACAGGGTGTGGAAGAACTTCTGTGCATAAAATTCCTTGTCAGAAGTAAAGGGGAATCTTTTCGAACAGCACTAAGATCATTCTTCAGCACAAGATCTCCAAAGGTCAGCGAACTTTCATCGGTAGGCACGTGCAGAGCTAACTGCAGTTTCCTTTTCACCGTATGGGCATTGTCCCCACGATCCAATTCAATGCCAAGGACGCAGCCAGAATCTGTCTGGACAAAAACACGCCTGCGTCCAGAGGGCCTTCCCTCACTCTTCTTAATGTCATGATACTCATTAGTGACGGGTCTGTTCAGGACTGCAATAGCCATCTGAGTCTGAACAGGGCTGTCCAAGTTAGGAGCCATGAGAGTTAAAGTGGGAGTTTGAGGCTACTGTGGCTGGACACAGCAGCAGTAAGAAGTCCCTCCTTTTTCCTCTTCTTCACTCTATAGCGCACGCCAAACTCAGTGGCTGATGCGGTTGTTGAGAGAAGAAGATTTTGTACGCGAACAATCATATAGGGGTAACACAGGGAGTGGCGTGGATATGACCTTGGATACTCGAGCAAGGCACAGCGGAGCAAGGAAAAAGGGAGGTAGGGAAGATTCCAACTCCCCCTAAAATGGGGAAGCCATGATCCCCTCACGTAGGAGGCAAAAAAAACCTGCAAAAAGACAATACAAGATAGGTAAAACTGAAACATATGAAACTGTAATGAAGTTAGAACTAATTCGGCACGAAAACATGAATGATGACAAAAACAACAAAGATCAAGTAAGAAAACAAAGACAAGTGATACAGCATTTTTACATTTAACATACAAAATTTAACAAGATAAACAAGCATCAGTAGATGTAGAGTGATGATCTAAGAGTGCAAAGAATTATGGAACCGGCAGGACATATCCAGACTAAGGATTTAGGTCTTGCATTTAGGAATTAAGGGTTGTTAGCCCACCCGAGGAGAACAGAGAGATTGTGCTGATGGTTTTGCTTTATTTTGACAGAACCAGTCTACAAACTTGTTTCGACATGACCCATCTGCTTGATGCCCGACTTTTTGATGAAGATTTTGATGAAGTTGACATATTTTTATTAAACAAAGATTGATCAATCCTAAATGAAGCTGAAACTGATATATAGTTCCAATCTATGATGCACCGACACTTCTCCTCAAAGAGGCGTTCAGTGTCCGACACGTATCCGACACGACACTCGTCCGACACTCCTCCGACAAGTGTCGGTCATGCCGAAAACGTGTCCGATTAAAAAAATATTAAATACAAATTTGACACGTGTGTATTAAATATTTTATGATTTTTTTTAAAATATAATTTCTTGTATTTGACGGGATTTAAACTAAATTTCTTATTTCCTATCCACAACATGACAACACCAAATCAACGTCCGCACTTAATACCCATTCATCGAATGTGCTCATTTTCATTTCTCTCTAGCAATGAAGGTTTTTTCATTTCCTCTCTCGGTGACTGATAAACGACATCCTAATACTAATCATTTCAAGCACAAATTCTAATTAAATGACTTATTATTTCTAAATTATTTTTAAAATTATACTTCTTTAATTTTATACACTTTTTTTAAAATATAAAAAATATAATGCAATGTCCAACCCATGTCTGTGTTCTAAATTTTAAATAATTGACGTGTCCGTGTCGCTGTGTCCGTGTCTGTGCATCATAGGTTCCAAGCACTGAATTGTAACCATATCCTCCTGAACTCTCTCATGAACTGTGGACTTGATTGCAGACTTGTCATTACATCGGTAAGAAGTGCTTCATCTTTTCCTTAATCATATATCTTTGTAGGTTAGCTCTTATCAGTGAATGATTTGGGAAGCTAATTATGTAATTGGAGTATAAAGTAATATATAATAGACATAAATGTACCTTAACATAATATTATATAACAAAAAGTTGATATAGATAAGAACATAATTAGTCGAGCTAAAATTATAGTACAAATAGAGAAGAATCTAAGTGTCCAATACATTATGAAAATATCATGGAGAGAAATGGTGAATTATGTAAAAATGCAATTATACCTTGCTTCAAGGATTTGAGCATTAGGAAAAAAGTCATAACAATCAAATATGACAAATGAGAATGTTTAAAATAAAATTGTGGTGAAATTACTATATATAGAATAAAAATGATTAAATTAGGTGATCAAATCCACTGAAGATAAGCTAACGTAAAATAAACAATAGTTGTTTGTCAATATACAATAAAGGGCTAAGGATGTTCCTATGAGATGGATAGATAGAATGAAAGGAATGGAGAGCTTAATTAAACGGCCAATGGGTAGGGGTTGTGCCAAAGAAATAATGTAAACTAGATTAACAACTGATGCAAGACTCACTAGTAATGAATGGATAAAATGAATTCATAAAACCAACCAGTAATTGTAAGAGTAAGATAACATTGATGACGGTCTAATCAATCACTTCCAAATCTATTGAAATAATATGTGGAATAAGGAACAGAACGTATAAACATACAGGTATAAACCAAAATAGAAAAGGACAAGAAAAATATTGCTTTAAGCCTTGGACCTATCAACCAGTGAATGCTCCCATGGATAAACACATGAAGAAAAAGTACATAAACAAAGAGAGCTACACGCATCACAAAAAGATTATTCAAATGATTGTCGTTGGTTGTATCTTGTAAATCCCAAACCTCAAATAAGAGTGCAAATGTATAAGGTCGTGAGAGTTATAAAGATTAAAAATAATATAATCAAACAATTAGCCATCGAAAATGATCAATAAAAAATCTACAAAATAAGAATCTAAATAAGTGATGAGCGCCCAATTTCTTTGGAATTGTTTTGATAACATTATTGATGATCTTATGCATTCACATCAAACGATTATTTGTCACAGGCATCATCATCATTAACCTTATACCAGAGACTAGGATCAGATAAATGAATCCTTCTTTCTCCTTCTCCATTTATTCTTGCTAAGCGAAAATGAGCCCTTAACTTGTTTTGAGCAAGTTTTTAACTAAAACAAAATCATAAAATGCCATTATTCTTGTTCTTAATTTGTAACTCTATGAGTTGCTACAGGCATACAGACATAAATTTTGGTCAACACGCCGAAGGCATGATGAAAATGAATATTTGAAGATAAACAACAGGACAAACATAATAGCATATCCAATAATCAAAATGAAAGATCGTAAGTAGTAAGAGAATTTAATAAAAGTAAGAATACAAAAGCTTCTAATTGGCTTCCGCAGCATATCTCCAGTTCATAGCCTAATGGAATCCATTCTCAAGTAGATCGACGAATCAGACCTCCCAAAAATAATAAAAACTTCCAGTAAAATAGAATCATTCGCAGCGCCTTAAACCCAGCACCAACAACCACTGTCACGGTTAACACAATCATTCTGGTCGAATAGTCAAAAATCCCTTCCGGATCAGCGCCTCTTCATCCTTTTCACTATTCATAGCAGAAAGAATCCCCAAATCAACGCAAATTAAAAAAAAAAAAAAAACTCTAGATCATTAAACCGCCGAACAATAACACAAAAATTCAAGAGAAGTTTTAAAAATAACACAGAACCGCCAACTTCCATCATCAAAACGCTCTCCATCCGCTACGAATGGAAGTAAGACTGCGAAAACGTCATAAGATCCCGAGCCTTTTCAGCTCTCACACATAACTAAAAGAACCTCCCCAAACTCCACTGCATCAGAAACATCCACTCACCGGAGGCCGAGATCTTGTCAGGTAGCGTCACTAGTTCAACGGCCACTCCGCCGATCACCTCCTCCGGCCCCTCTCTCCTAATCTCAACGCTAAATTCAACCCCGCCCAATCCTCTGCGCTCTCACTCTCTCACTATATATATATATAGCGCGCTTTCTCTCTCTCACTCCTTTCTTCTCCGCTCTCAACTCTGATTCATATTTTAACCCTTCCAAGACTAAGAACAGTGGTTAGAGGCCTAAACTGCGGTTAGCAATCATATCTTCAATTCATTGTGGGGCCGTCTGACGAATTTTGCAAAATCGTGTCGTCATTATCTGAAATGATAAGATCGTATCCCTGGACTAACATAATAAAATATTTATAAATACGACCCTTAACAATTTCATATTTATTTATTTTTGACAAATGGTACATTTTTATATATGACAACTGTTACATTATGATTCTTGTGTAAAAGTCTTTAGAAAGCAATAAAGTGTTATATTGTAAGTTATCTTATAATTTTAGCCTTTATTTGCTGTTTCTTAGAATATTTTTTAAAACAAAAGTTTTAATTTTGTATTAAAGAATTATTTTAAGAAGCAGTAAAAAAGTCGTCCCAATTGACGTCTTAATGAACGGAACGGAATGTGTAGTGAAGTTAGTAAAATATGAGATTGATACAACGTTAGAAATTTTATATGATGAAATGTTCTATTTGGATGATTTACAGACTTCAAAGGAACCATGTAAGAGCTTAAGCACTCAATAATGAAAGGCAAAATAAACCAAATAGTCGCCAGGTCTCTGCTAGTCAGGAAAGTATTGAGAATGAATCTCCACAAGATCATTAGAATGCTTTCAATATTTCAATTTTGTATTCAAGGCATATTTCATTTTAAACAAGCAAATAGCAATGAACCTTTGAGTGTGTCCAAATTTCATAACATTTTCTTTCTCTATATTGACCTCTAAAAATATTTCACGATCAATTTGAGTGCTTCGAGGAAAGCAACTATTTGATATATTCTTTATCAGAAGCATCGAGACAGCTCAATCGCTATCAAAATGGCTCAAAATATTATTCGATTGTGAAATGGATTAGATTGATTCCTTAAGGACAATAATGTGCAGCTCAATTGGAAATGATGATGAGAGTGATTTGTTGGTGAATGCGATATCAGCAAAAATTACACAAATGAACTTTGATTGTCAAATGAACTGTGTCGATGCAACCAAAGCATCAAATTTATGTAAGGGGGACGCCTCGTAGTTGAATTGAGTGAACAAGGTCGAAATCGACAGACTACATATGAAACCTTGTGCAACGTTGCCCAAACATTGTCAGTCTGTAAAACGGACTTCGTTGTTGTGTCCGGAATATCAAAATCATATAGAAAATGATGTATGAAAAATTGGCATAAATTTTGAGGAGACATAACACGAAACTGCCTAAATGATATTCCGATCATGAAGCAAACTTCATCATTGTGCTTAGAATATCAAAATTACCTAATGAATGACCTCTCACATTCTATTTGAGCGAAGGCGGTCAAAATCGATAGACAATGGACAAAATGTTACGTGACGTGACCCGTGTTAAGAATACATCCACGTCAGCACCGCGTCTGTACTTTCTTGAGTCTGGACAAAATGTTACGTGACGTTACCCGAATGCCGCTTATTCGCAAAACGAATTTCACATGTATGTTCGGAACGTCGGGAATACATAGAAATGACTTCATATTGCCTAGGTCTTTGTGAGAGCAAAAATGTAAAAAATTGTATGAGTTTCAAGGCGATGTAACTAAACCAATTCATAACTCTAATGCTATTATTGTTCCTTTTTATATGTTAATTATTATCAGATTTAAATAAATATATATTAATATTATTATGAAATAATAAGAAAATTTTTATATTCTATTTAAATTCTGATCAAATCTGCTCATTCCTACTCTATACCCTATCCTGCCACTGTCAGCCGCCCAATCCTGTGAAAGACCATAAATAATAAAGTAAAAAAAAAAAAAAATCCTAATCTATTCTATTGATGTGTGTTTCACGAAGTTTTATTTGGTCCGATCCATCGAACGAGAGAAATATTTGGTCGCAGGCAAAATCCCGCTATACCGAGGTGTACTGAATTTTTCGAAAAAAACTCGGTATAGCGGAATTTTACCTGCGACCAGATGTTTCTCTGCATCCGGTCGGAGGACATAATAATTGTGCTTCACCCCCCTTAAACGAACTACACTACACTACACTGCTTTCTCCACCTCCCAACTTAAACCAGTCGCCTATCTTCCTCCCTACAGCAGCCCATATTGCTCCACTGTATAAACCACACATACAGCCTCATTCAAAGCCCAATTATCTGCAACAACTACAGCCCATTCCACCTCAACCTTCACCCATTATAGCACCAAAAACCACCTCTAATCTACCTCCAATTAACTTTCTAACATAACCAAAATCCGCCTCTTCCTTTATTATTATTATTATTAGCTAAAAAAGAACAAAATCACAAAGTAAAAAAAAAAGAGAGATTTGTGTATTGTCGGCATCGCTCTCGTGCCCTCGACACTGTCATCGTAGCCTCATTCATGCAAGTTATAATGTTCATTCAACTTTAAACATCGAATCCCATTATTGCGCTCGCGGCACAATGAATAAACCTCCTATGCGTGTTTTTCTTAGCACGGTGGGAGGAAGCTCAGTATGATGCCTATGACAAATCAGATAAGCCTTGTACCCGTTTCTCTTAGCACAATGGATAAAATTATGTACTCGTGTATACTTTCATGCTGGCGGGCAAATTTACAATCATCCATGCAGGTGCCCTAAAGACCCATACACACTTTTTTTACATGGTGTGATTGAATACCACGGCTGCCGTGCCATGTGACACTGACTGTGCATGTCTTTCTTGGTGTGGTGGTTAGTCTTAGACTCCCCAAAATTTCTCATAAATGGGGGAGACACCAGGAGGCTGCCGAAATTTCATCTGAATAATGACTGGACTTAAAAACTTTAAAAATTAACATACACAGTTAAAAATGTAACGAAAAAATAATACTTAAATGAACTTATTTTTTAACCAGACCTAAATGACCATTTAAGTTAACTTATAATTAAATAAAATTCATAAAATTAGAAGGTTGAGCAGGGAGTTTGCAGCATATAATATTTTGCCTTAGGGGGGAGACAATGGCTTATAATGAATGTTGTAGCTTGCTTACAAAAGAATAGTGTACTTGTAGTGCGCAACAATCCACATATGGATAATAATAGTGAACATGCAACGAATGTGATAGTTCTCCTAGGGGCATATATTGGGAAATTATAATGAATACAAAAGCTTGGTTCTAGGCAAAGATAAGAAATTTGTAATGAACATAGCCTGCCTACAAACAAAGACAGGAGAGTTTTAATGAGTACAACATGCCTACAGGCAACATCAATTACTTGCAAAGGCGCATATACTGCTTGCAAGCTTGTACAAGGCCTTTACAATGAATGTGAAACCTCACCTATGAGCAGAAACAAGGAACTCATAACGGACAAAACAATTATTCTACGAGCAAGGACATGGAACTCGTGGTGAATGTGATAAGTTGCCTACATGCATAGACATGTGTAAGACACACTATTACCCACCTACGAGCAATAGCAGAAGACTAGTTACAAGCACACACAATAATTCACCTATGAGTATGAGCAGGGAATTCATCGTGCCCACAATACTTAGTCTACAGACGTTGACAAGGAGCTCGTACCAAACAAACCAGCCTATTTATAAATAATAGCAAGGAACTTATAAAGAATACTACAATTCACTCGTAAGCAAGAACATGAAATTCATACTACACACAACCAGCTTATATATGACAATAGGAGATCATAATAAATGATGTTGCTTTCTTTGTTTCCTAGAATTTGTAATAAATTATCTATAATTTCTTTCATGGCTATACCCGACAGCAATGAAGTTGTTTCCCAGGAAAGAATTACTTTTATAGCATAAGATCCTGCAGCATAAATCAAGGGGTAATCTCAGTGACATATACTCCAGATTCTAAACTTCCCATGATCTTGAAGCTTGGATGGAAATTTCCATTGTGCATCTCACTTACAGACCAAATTCATGGCAATATGGTATGAAATATTTTCTGGAACAATGCAAATGCAATAATTACAAAGTAAAGCCTTTGCAAAATTTGAACTAGCTAGTTATAATAGATCTGAATGTCTCTTTTCAAGTTCAGTGAACGAGCACTAGAAGATGGGCATTCTCGTGATCAATACTTGGTATAGCAACACTCACTCCCCTCTCCCATTTTTCAAGAGGTAGGAGCTTGAGGATGTGGAGGGGTGAACTGGACTATATTTCACTAGTTTCTGAACGGTTGCCAGTGGTGTATTAAGTGCTTTTGTATAATTTTCTCTTCATTCTCTTTAACTGGCTAGTTTTCATAAATGCTTCCTTCGTGACGGCTTTCTTACTGCTTCTAAAAGCAGCTTTTTTATTAAAAAAATGCTTTAAAAATTAAAAAGAAAGCCTTCCCAAATGAAGCCTTAAAGTTTTTGCAAAGTATTGCTTTCATTTAGCAGAGGTTTGTCCGTAGGCCTAATAGTTGCTGATAATACTCGATTAAAATTTATTTGTCATCATATTTCTATTTTATATAAAATAAAGAATAATACATTATAAGCATGAATAGAAATTAAATATTATAATAATTTTTTATAAATATTAATGCACAAATTTCATTATTTTCTTATAAACTAAATAAAGTTTTCATTTAATTAATATTGCATACATCTTTAAGATAAATTTTAGTAAGTTAAGGAGCAAAAAAATGTAAAATTTATATTAGATGTAAATAAATTTTTGTATGAAATTAGAGCAAGTATTTTAAGATTCATTTACCACTATTAATTTTTATTAATATTCACTATGAATTTCATGCTTAAATATTCTACATACAAGAATTTAATCTAAGATTTATTGTCTAGTTTCAGATAGGTCTTTTTTTTTTTTTCCAAAAAATATCCTTACAACCAAAATTTGTTCCGAGGGCGCTACCTCTCGACCCCTATTTGTTCATCGTTGTACGTTTCACATATATGTCGGGTGTCCAAGGGAGCAGCGCCCCCTAGCGTTTGGGTGGGTATTTTGGATCCACGCTGGAAGAAGCTCCATTCACAGGTGCATTGATCATCTGAGGTGATTGAGGAGTTTTCGGACCTGGTGGAGTTGCCCGATTTGATCCCGTCAACGGTTCTTGCCAATGTCTGCGGTTATAAGTACCCTTTGCTTGTCTATTTTGCTGCATTTCGACCCTCATAGCAAAATTGACGGCTTGAGCCATAGACCACACGGAGTTCAGTTCCAAACGATCCTGGATACTGTCTTTGAGACCTCCTATGTATCGGGCGACCATTTGATTGTTTGACTCGTTCAAATTATTTCGGGCACTTAGTCGATTAAATTCTTCCGTGTAGTCACTTACTGATCTGGTACCTTGGACACAATGTTGATACCGTAAGTACAGAATTTGTTCGAAATCTGAGGGCAAGAACTGAGACCTTAGCAGCTGCTTCATCCGTGTCCAATTGCGTACAGGGCCCTTTCCTTCTCTTTGTCTCATTTGAACTATTTGTGCCCACCAAGCACTAGCGCCGCCTTTCAATCTACATGCGACATACTTTACTTGTTTGTTTGGAGCAATTTCCATGTAGTCAAAGAAATTTTCAACTGATTTTTCCCAATCAAGATAATCTTCAATGTGTATTCGACCGTCGAAAAATGGGATGTCTAATTTTACTTTAAATTCACCTTGATTCGGTTGAGGAAGTTGCCGTCGCTGCCGCTGCCAATCCCTGCGGTGTAGATTTCCAGCTTCTTCTTCTTCCGATTCGGCAAAGTCAGCTTCCCTGTGTATAAAATCGTCCTCCTCCGAATCCGATAATTGTGGTATCGGTAATGGCGGAGGTCGGCCACCTCGACCTGCGGCTATTCCTCTCCTGTGCACAGGTCTTGCAGCAGGTATCTCGTCTCTGTTCCGTCTTGGTTGAGGAGGTCCTGCCCTCAGGAGATTGAACTCCCTGCGCATTTCCACCCCCAACCGTTGTATATCCGCTTCCAGCGCGTCAATCCGCCGATTGACGTGATCCTGGTCCGCCCATAATGATTCAAGGTTCCGTCCTTCCTCCGTTGCAGGCTCCTTTCCTCGCTCCGTCATCTTCTTCAGGTAGTGGCTCTGATACCAGCTGTTGCAAACGGATCGCCGAACACCTGCACAAAATGACGCCAAGCCAAAGAAAACTGGAGACCGGAGAAGACAAGGATAATACTCACCGAAATAACTCTGTATTTCTGTATTGCTATCTTCTGTAAAAGTTTTTCAAAAGCTGCTATACCCTTTTGCTATGTTTCCTATATACTTTCATCTCCTCCGGTGAAATACTATAACTAGCTACTAAATAGAAAAAGTGTACTTGTACTGTAGAAACAGAAAAATAGTAAAAAAAGATAGTGGTAGGCAGAGTTTGTTAGTAAGGATATAAAGTGCCGCAAGTCTCTTCCTTAACCTGCTCCGCATCACAGTTGCCCCTACCTTGGCCTTAAGGTGGATCCGCGCATGCAACTAATTATTCCTTAATTTTCTTACTATTTTGACATCTAAACTTTCATTTTTTAAACGGATATTAATGTTGTGATTTTATGATTTTATTAAAACTGTTTTTTTTTTTAATGGATATTAATGTTAATGTAAGTGGTCTAGCTTGATTTTGAATTTATTTATTTATAATATGTACTTTAATGCATCTATTCTCTTATAAAAAAATATTTATTAGTGGCTAATTTAGATGTTGTCGTAAAATTATTACATTGATACTCTTGGATATTCTTTTGTTATAAGTTTTTATAAAAATATTATTTCATGATGTTGAATAAATTTTAGAGAAAATAAATATATCTAAAAAAAGCATGAGGCTACTTCTCTACATTTTAAATAAAGATGTAAATTATTTTCATACTTTAAGGAAAATAATATAAATAATAAATATAATGCTCAATACAAATAAAATAGATTGTCTTCTATGAAATATTTACTTGTTATTCTTATAATAAATTACTATTTTTATAAAGGCCTTTGCAGCTAAAGAAATTATATAATATGTGTTTGATAAGAGACCATAACAATATGTAGCTTGCAATTTAGAGTTCATTTGAGATGATTTTTTTCACTGTTTTTTAAAACAGTTTTTTAATGCATAAATTTCTTGAACTAGAAATTATTGTACTAGAAAATTGCTTTAGATTAATTTTTTGAACAAATATTTTAATTTTGTATTAAAAAACTGTTTTAAAAAGCAATAAAAAGGCCGTTCCAAGAGAAACCTTAATTGGGGCTTTCCAAGTTGGCCTAGAACATTCTTGGGACAACTTGGTTCCAGTTGCTGCTTCAATCTTTCTTAGTACAAGGTTACATGCAGTGAAAATATGAACTCTATGCTTGCACTGAGCAAAATGAGTTGTGCGGGCTTTCTATTGCAGAATCCTTTGGAGAGTGGTCAATCAAACGACAAATTATTAGGTCAGGTCATCGAACCTATCTCTAGGTCCGGTCATCCACTAAAAATTTGCCATGTGGACTGCGCTTTGACTCAAAAAAGCGCAGTCAAAAGTGCAAGTAAAGTGCAGGTAAAGCGCACCTAAAGTGCAATTAAAGTCGAAGCAATAAGTAATCCTTAGTGTGATTGATTAGAGTATAAGACAAGTTGTTTGTAAAGATCCTATAGTCTTGCAAACATAAGCGCGAAGGAGGACTTGAGTGGTCAAGGGAGGAATGGTGAAATTATTCTGTGTCGATGCCGAACGTCGTCCAGAGACCAACCAGAATGCACAACGTCACCTCATGCTAGGTACCGCGGCTCAGTACCACTGACGTGGCGCATTCTGGTTGGTCTTCGTACGATAAATTGCGTTCGGCGTCCGCACAGAATAATCTTGTCAAGGGATGCCTTGTTGCAATTAAGGCTAAGTTGAAGTAATCCTTAGGCAAAGTTGCATCCCTGCCTGGATCAATAGCGAGCAATGTAGGACTGGAGAAAACAAAACCTATTGATGTGATTGTGATGACTTAGGGTTCATTTGAGACGGTTTTCATATTGTTTTTTAAAATAAAATTTTAGTAAAAAATTAAAAAATTTTAATTTTTTATACTTAAAAATTTATTTTAAGAAAAAGTAAAAAAGTCATCCTAAACTTAAAGAATTAAATAGTCTTATAAATTCTCTTGGAAAAAAAATTAGGTAGGGATATCGTAACAAAAATTAAAAATCTTAAACTTAATTTTAAGTATTACAAATAAATTAAATAAATACAAAATTTAGAAATTTCATGCCAGAATTTTCATTTTTCAGCAAGAAGCTTTGATGTATTTGGTGAAATTATTCTGTGCGAACGCCGAACATCAACCGGAGACCAATTAAAATGCGTCACGCTACTTTCTGCTCGGTCCTGAGCTCGGTACCACTGACGTGGCGCATTCTGGTTGGTCTTCGTACGATAAATTGCGTTCGGCGTCCGCACAGAATAATCTCTTCAAGGGATGCCTTGTTGCAATTAAGGCTAAGTTGAAGTAGTCCTTAGGCAAAGTTGCATTCCTGGATCAATAACGAGCAATTTAGAAGGACGGGAGAAAACAAAACCTATTGATGTGATTGTGATGACTTAGGGTTTATTTGAGATGGTTTTCATATTATTTTTTAAAATAAAATTTTAGTAAAAAATTAAAAAATTTAATTTTTTATACTTAAAAAATTATTTTAAGAAGAAGTAAAAAAAGTCATCCTAAACTTAAAGAATTAAATAGTCTTATAAATTCTCTTGGAAAAAAAATTAGGTAGGGATATCGTAACAAAAATTAAAAATCTTAATTTAATTTTAAGTATTACAAATAAATTAAATAAATACAAAATTTAGAAATTTCATGCCAAAATTTTCATTTTTCTACTTAATTTTGGTGTGAAAGGGTTCTTAGTTATTGCGTTCTCAAGGCCGCGGCTATTACACTTTCCGCTGGAAGCTCCAAAGCTTCGAGTCACTCCCATCGAACCTACTCCCCAGTACCTCCTGCATTCGCTTTCTAGGGTTTCTACTAGCAATTTTTTCCTCTCCACGATTCTACCTCTCTAGCAGTCTTGAGAGCATAAGAAACTTAGGAACAGCTGATTCTAGAAGAAGAATCGATTCATGGAGTCTTTCTCGAGATTCAACATGGGGTTTGAAGAGGACGACGAAGATGAAGAGGAGTTCGGAAAGGGAGAAGGCTCTTCTAAAAAAGGTCGCTACTCTCCATTTTTGCATTTCTAAATTGGCTCTCAATTTCAGGGGCTGTTTAGCTGCATGAAAATTATCTTGTTAAATATTGATATACTATTTGACTATTTGTTTCAGGATTTTAAGTCTGCGGGAGGGAGAAATCCTTAAATCCATTAAATCCCGTGAATGGTGGGATTTAATAAATTTTGGATTTAACAATACAACAACAACAACATCAAGCCTTTATCCCACTACTTTTTCTCCATTGTGTCCTATTAAAAGTCAAATTCTCGTTTAAATCTAATAAAGAAAGGTCATTCCTAATATTTTCTAACCATAGCATGGCGAAAATTACATTTATCAAAACAAAAAAGATTTAAAATATCCAAACCATTTGGCAGTAATTAAGCTAAATATTGCTTGAATTCTGCTTAAAATAAGATGCCAAACACCCCCTTAGGTTTGCTTCTTTTTTCTTTTTTTTTCTATGAAGTTGTGCTTAGCAAAAAAAATTTTTTGTTGCAGAGCTGACCTTGAAACTTGATGGGAAAAGCAACGAGCAGAAGGCAAGCACCCCACGATTGAAGCATTCTGCCATAGAACAAAGACGTAGAAGTAAAATAAATGATAGGTAAGTCCGTAGAGTTCCCTTATTTCTCCTTCAATCCATCCCATTCTGGGGCCATGAGCGAATTACTTCAATCAAGAAACAACTCGATGCTCCTTTATGTTTGTTTATTTACATTTAAATAAGCTTAATTTAAAAAAAAAAAAATCATATAAATGAAAAAACTTGAACATTAAACAGCTTGTAGCAAATATTTCTTTGTTTGTAAACGCATTTATTTGTTGTTTAAAAATTTTTGATAAAATGCTTATTTAATGATAGATTAATTGCTTATTTGATTGCTTTTTCGATGTTCTTATATCAATTTTAGTATATCTTAGCAACTTAAAAAACTCTATATTATTAGAGGTATAAGTTTAATGAAAATACTAAATACATAGCCAGAAGTATAGAGATTAAAACATTTTCTTATTAGTATTTGTCTATTTGAACATCAAAAAACAACTTAAATATTGCTCAATGAATTATGCCAATTTTAATTAAATTGTTTAAATTCAATTATATCTTCTAAGGAGGCTATATGTTTAAATCATCAACAACAAACATTTGATTAGTTAGTCTTGATTAAAGCTCATTCGCAACTCAAACTTCATGAAAATTTTAATAAATATGTTTGAACAATATTTAAGCTCATCTCGAATTCAATAAGAAAATAAATGACTTGGCTTGTCTTAGTTTATTTACACTCTGTCCTTCCACTTAGAGGGAAAGGAATGGGAATGCAACTAACTCCTATCGTAGTGGAAGAAGAAATCTCAAGTAAAAATCTACATTTAACCTGTCGCCCCAAGTAAAAATCTACTCCTATGTCAGGCCGGCTGAGCCGGTCCCTGCTGGACCGGTTTAACAATAGCTTATTACAGTTATTTGATAACATGTTGCCCCTCAAATACAATAGATAATTTCAAACCAAATTCTTGATAATTCATGACTTCTCAACTCTAATCCATCATCCTTCAATAATGGCTGGCTTCCTCAGCTCTAAATTTGGGGTTGACTTGGGTCTGATTTGGGCTTGATGTAGCTAAACCTAGGATTAGCCTCTAATGGAAGAGCCTCCTAGATCACAGTTTGCTGATAACCTGATGACATGCTCATGCAATATGCATTTTTCAAGGGTAAATGGACGTCAAAGGAACTAATTAGCACTGCTTTTTCGTGAGACTACAATTTTATCTCAACCAGATAAGTTGCATAATTATGCTTTCATTTAAGCAGATTGCTTCTGGAATGTGTAGTTAAATGAACACTCAACCTGTTTTTGACAGATTTCAAATGCTTATAGGACTCTTGCCAAATAGCGATCAGAAAAGAGATAAAGCATCATTTTTGCTGGAGGTGTATATCTTTTTGCTAATGTCGTTAACTGTTGTTTCCTTTCTTTTTAAACATTGTTGTATAATAAATTTACTTTTGAGTTTATTGAATAAACACTAATTTGCAGGTCATCGAATATATCCAATTCTTACAAGAGAAGGTACAGATGTACGAGTAAATTTCGCCTGTGAGTGATGAAAACACCAGATTGATGTTATTGGTATAGTTAAACTTTCATTGCATCGAAAATATATCTATGTGCTTCTTTGTTAGACATTTTCACTTAGCTTCTAAATATTATGCAACTGAAAAGGGAATCTCAAGGCCTATTTGGGATCTTTTTGTTTTTTTTTAACATAATTATTTATGTATTTTTTTTGCATATTTTAATTTTATTTTAAAAACAATCAACTTGTTTTTAAAAGCAGTCAATACAACATTTAGGTATTTCAGGTTATAATTAATTTTATGTTTCCTTTTCACCTTGGTGCCACCTCCGCCACTGCCACTGCCACTGCCTGACTGTTGCAAGCCACCATTGCTACTGTCATTGTCTTGTTAGCCACCAGCTGCAACCACCCCCATCACCTAATAAATTAATTTCTTCAATATCTTTTATTTCAAATCAAAATTTAAACAAAATAAAATAAAAGCAGAAAATAAGAAAAAAAAAAAAGTGATTCGAAACAGCTCCTTACTGTTTGCTCTATCATGGCTCTGTTTTATAACCAAGCAAAAGTTCATTATAGGAAATTGATGAGAGGCCAGTCTTGCCATCGCCTAAAATAACTTTTTTGGTAATGCTTAATGCTTCAAATACTCTATTCATTATCACGATCTAATACTTTTAAAGTCGATTGGTTGCACTCATAGTTGGGCGTTTTTTTACATACTTGATAGCTTAGACTTATGTTTTCTATGTTTTCAATTATTTTTCAATAGCTTTGCCAAAAAGAAAGAAAATGAATGAATAAAAACCCATCCTTGCTTCCGATTAAGGCTTCGTTTGAGATGAATTTTTATTGCTTCATAAAATAGCTTTCTAGTACAAAAATTAAAGTTTTTATACTAGAAAAATGTTTTAAGAAGCAGGAAGAAAGACGTCTGAAACGAAGCCTAAAACTTGAATAGTACTATTTTTGATGTGAAACGTAAATGCGATAGACAAGAATTGCAATTAAGAGATTAATAAAGTAGTAAACATTGCTTGACTAACGATAAACCCTTTTGTTTGCTCAAGTGAAGGTTTAAGAATAAGGCATGAAAGACTAAGTAAAAGCGATAGGTTACAATTTGAGATTAGTAGGACTTGCAAAATAACAACCAATGATTCGTAGGTAATGCAAATAACAAATATAACAAAAGCTTCAAGTTTAAAATCTAGATCCTTCACCTTGAGATCCTACGCTCAAACTCTTGAAAGTGGAGGCTAGCGGAGGAGGATTGCAAGCACACTTAAGGATGCCACTACCAAACAAGTGATGTCAAGAGGACTAGTTGTCGGGGAAGAAGCCGGAGTCGGGGAAGGGGGAGGTCGTCCGATAAGAGTCCACGGAGTTTTTGGCCGTTGAAGCTCGATAGTCCCGGCGAGACAATAGACGATGCGATTGATGTAACGTTCCACTGTGACGTCGTACTTCCAATCCTGTTCATAAAAGGGAGAGATGAATATGTCGATCTCCCCTTGTTCGTTGTAAGCGAATGATGCAGGACTACTTAGATGAAATGATTATGTAATCATTTAGACATTGCACAACTATTGAATAGAATAATATTAGAATAAAATTGCTAGCAATTCTAAAAATGAAGAATCAAAACAAATAAGGAGATCTTTTGCTTTGGCCAAATTACATGCTCTGAGTTTTGAAATTTTCAAGATAAATAAGAAAAATAAAACAACACAAAATAGTAGTCTTCAAGTTAATCCCTAATCTAACAACGAGATTTAGGATGCATTGAAAGTGCACTCAATTCCTATGATTACTAAGCTTAAGCAAGACTTGTGGAGGAGCCCGTCGTGACTGCAATCAAACCAATGAGAATTTAGACTAAAAGAAATAAGGCACTCGGGAGAGAAGAAACCTTCGTCAAGGTTTAGTGGAGATCCTCCACTCAATGCCTTCAAAATGTTCGTCGATAACCTCTACCAAGTATATCAGTGTGCGCTCCAAGTAATCCTCTACGGTGAAATCAACTCTCGGGTTCACGTCGAAGAGCGTAGATTGTAGGATATCTACTTAGCCGTCTTCGTCCCAAGTTATGTCGTAGTCAGTTTCCGAATCCGCCATTCATAGGTGCTAGGTGACAAAGTCTTCACGGGGAGTTGCTTTCTTCAATAATGTGACGAGAAAGAAGTTTCTCGTCTTTGTAGAATAGATGAAAGATAAGAGCAACTACCTTTTCAAATATGAAATTGTATTTCAATTTTTTTTTTAAAACCTATTAAAGATGATTCAATAGGGGAAACTCAATTTCAGCTTTTGGAGCCAGTGGATGACGGGAATTTGAATTCCTTTATTCCTAATTATTCTCTTGATGGAGAATAATTAACGGAGAGAGGATGCAAGAGGAGGGGCGGCGGTAAGGGCAGGGAAAAGCCTTGATTTAAATCTCTGATGGGAATATTCCTTTTAGGAACAAATTAAACCTATAATCATGCAGATTTCGGCCAAGGGAGAAAGCAAGAATATTTGGAATTATTTCCTAAGAAAATAATTAAAAGAGCATTAATGGGCTAGGAGAGAGGGGGGCCAGCGGCAAGCATGGACCATGGGGAGTTTAATTGGAATAATTAAGACTCCTTAATTTAGGAAAGGGATTTAGGAAAGTATTATTTTAAATCCAATTTGAATTTCAAATTCAATTAGATAAAAATGGAAACTTTCCTAAAATAGAGTTAATTAAATAAGGAAAGATTTTGAAATTCCCAATGATTAATTTTAAATTTCAAATCTACCCACATTCAATTCAATCTAAAATAGGAAACAAGCTTGGATGGGGAATGAGGAGAGTGGATCGGCGGTTAGGGAGATGGGGGTCGGCGGCATGGGGTCGGGCATGGGTTTGGTCGTGGGCTTGAAGGGAATTTGTGGAGGTGAGAAATCGGGTGCTAGGGAATCCGGCGGCTAGGTGATGAGGGAGGAGGTATGAGAGAAACAACGGGAAGAGAATAGAACGAGATAAACGAAAGAAACTACGAACCCGACTTATCTAGGTTGGTGGGTGTTGCGCCAAACTTCTTTCTCTCCTAGGAAGCTCTCTCCATTAGAACTCTCAAGCACACAATCTCATGCAAGAAGAAATTTTAATAAGCAATCATTCATTCACTTCAAATAGAACAAAGGGGGGCTTTAAATAGCCTCATACAAATGACTCAAAACAAATGACACAAATGCCTTTTGGGCTTACATACGACAACTCCCATAAGAGGGGTACAACGGGAAATAATAAAACACACACAAGCAAATAACAAAATACATGAAAATAAAAATACATCGATGACTCAAAAATATAAAGACCCAATCGTGGCCGTAGATAGGTGGTCACGTCTCTGATAAACTTTCCATGATGATCTGATGTCTCCATCAACGAAGCCGTGGTCAACTTTTGAATCGGCCATATACCAATGGCGAGATAAATGGAGAGATAGGGAGGAGAGGTTGTCTTCTTCTCTTGGGTTCAAGTGTCATGAGAGAACTAGGGTTTCACAAGAGAGTATGGGCACAAGAGAGGGGACAGCTAGGGTTGGGGAGAGAGGGGTCGGCGGTTTGACTAAGGGGAGAGAGGGTTGGGGGTCAGCTAGAAGATGTGGGCTTAGTTTCAAAAACTGAAATTGATTTCAGATTTTGAATACTTTTGGAGGGAATTAATTTGAAATTCGATTTCATATTAGTGGGTGATTAATGCATTAATTGGGGGTTGGGGGGGGGAGTCATGCATGGGGCCTGCTGCATGGAGAGAGAGGGAGAGAGGTTTTGTGGTGGGGGAATTTAACAACTTCCTAATTGACCCTTTCAATTTAGGAGAAGAAAAATTCCATCCAAATTAATTTTGAAATTAAATTTGAATGTGAATCAAAACTTTCCTAAAATAGCTCTCTAATTTAGGAAACTAATTTGAAATTCGAATTTTGAATTTCAAATGATTAGATAATTTCCCAAATTGTTCAAGCTCTTTAGGCAAGTACTAATGAGGCATTAAATTCTCATTCATGAAAGAAACAAGGTGGTCTATGGTGGATTGGGCTTGGGTGGGGATGGGTGGTGGAGCCAGTGGGAAAAAAGGGGCCGGTTGGTGGAGGTAGGTTGACGTTGGGCTTGGTGAGGTGGGGTTATGTGGTGAGCTTGGTGGTGGAGGTTATGGAGGCCGGCGGGTGGGGATGAGAAAAAGAAGAGGCGACAAAGAAGATAAATTTAAAACCACGAGTTGCGGACTCTTCCAATGATTGGCGTGCCTTGCATTTGCTCACCTTGAGCTCTCTCCCTTCTCTCTAGCGCTAACACAAGAAGAAGTAAACACAACAAAAATTGTATTAATCATTCATCATCCTTTACAATGCATGAGGCATCCTTTAAATAGGTAAAAAAAATAAGACAAAGCTAGAAAGACACAAATGCCCTCAGAGCTACACAAGCGACTAAATACCCACAGGGGAAAACTAGGAAAACAAAAATGCGAGAATAAATAAAATACAAAACAAAACAGAAATAAAGGCTCTGCATCGTAGCCGTCGATCTGCATCTCCAACGATGGTACACGTCGAAATCTGATGCCCTCATCAATTTTTAAGTATGAATATAGTAACATTGATGTAATAACATGCATTTTTTACTTAAATAAAGGGCATGTGTCCAACTCTTTAGGCTTCTTTCTCCTGCAAGGTATGGAACCCGGTTATTTGTGTTGGATATTTTGAGCTTAAATCACACAATTAATACATTTGTTAAAGGTTAAGTACTGCTCCATACGTAGTCCAATCAATATCCGCTGCTGGTGAGCCTCATGCACTAGAAATGCCAATTTTTCATCATAAATTTTCCGTAATCCTTTCTGAGCCATTTGTAGCTAATTAGAAGTGATGTCTCATTTGGATTTGAAGGCAACTCATGTTCTTGCAATATATAAGAGATTTATCCTTAAAACATTTGTCCATTTGTGTTGATCAGTATAGATATTTTTGGCATTTTTGCAAGCGAAGGTTTTATTGATTTTTTTTCTTTTGAATTAAATGGTCTATTTTAAGTCCGTTCTGGAAAAATGCACCGTATCTGTTATTTGAATTTTATTGCGGAAAATTGAAGTTGCCGGAGATTGGAGTTCACATTTGATCTTTGGTTTTTGTGATGAATTGCTTCTTTACTGATCCACCAAATGGATCAAATTTTATTTATGTGAAACAGAACAACCGAAATGGCTCTGGTGATCCCATGAATGATCCTCAAGTCTTTAAGAATGGTGCTTCGTCTGGGTTACTGGTGTCAGATAATGGCATTCCAGGCGTGCAATATGTTCTTTCTTCTAAAAAATCCAACAGAATCTGACCTGATTGCTGGTTTATCTCAGAAAGCATTGGAGAATGCTTCTGTTTTTCAACTAAGGCTTCGTTTGGTACAGTTTTTTTGCTTGCTTCTCGAAGCAGCTCTCTAGTACAAAAATTAAAATTTTTTACTAAAAAACTGCTTCAAGAAGCAATAAAAAAGCAGTCCCAAATAAAGCGTAAGAGCGCTCCCCCAGCTTCTTCACAGCCAAACTTTCATTCCTCTGTAGGAAGGGGGATATTTCTTGGCCAACCTTTGCAAAGGTTTCTTCCAGAAGCAGATAGTATGGTTTCCCAGTCTGAGTCTGAGTGGCTGAGATCTTCATTTCCTGTTGATTGTACTGTTAGCAATTATGTATTCAATGAACAGGAGGAGCTAACAATTGATGAAGGAACCATTTGTGCGTCAAATGCATATTCTCAAAGGTATGCAATAATCAAATTATCCCTACTGTTCTTATTTCCGAGAATTTCAGCAGAAGACACGCACATTTTGTTTATTTATATTCTCCAATATTTCCTTGAGCAAAAGCTTTTTCATATAGATTCACCCACCCCCGTTTATATTAGTTAATTCATTTACTGATCGCCTAGCATGTCTAAATAACAACAATTCAGGATCTATCACAGTTTTTGTTTTTCAAATAGTTCATAGTTACCATGATCATGTTGGACTTCTTCTTTCTTGCTATATTTTAGAAATTTCGAAGATGCGAAATGACGTGTTATAATCATATCTATTAGAGTGTGATCCAAGTTTTTGAAAAGAGAAAAAATATTATAATACCCACACCATCTTTTAAAAGATTTTTTAAAAGATTTGTCTTTCCAACAATGATTCTACAATATTTATGGACAACTACAATCATCCAAAGCTGTTCCCATGCTAACATTGCCATGGTTTATTCAATGTGGTGCATGCTTTTGAATACCCTAAGCCAAATGTTGCAGAATTCAGGCACAGACCTTTCCCAAGCTAACATTTCTGTACATATTAATTTGGGGAGGAGAAGTGGTAGCAGCCATAATACTTCCACAAGCATTGCTACTTCGAAGGTACATATTATTTTGGAGAGGAGAAATGTCTTCTGCTGATACAGCTTTTGTTTGTATTTGTTCATTTGGATTCAAGTAAGCATTATTTTATCTGATCAAATGCTTAACCGAGCATTAATGAACTTGTATTCCAGGATCAGGGGATGAACCATGATCCTGCAACCTTATTATTGGTCAAGCCGGGGTAGGGAACAGGATCCATGAGTCAAGCAGCCACAAAGAGATACAAATCAGACAGATCAGATAGTCACTCATCTTCAGGATTAATTATTCTGTGCCGATGCCTAACGCCATCTGAAGGACAACCACAATGCGTCACATCATCCCTTGCTCGGTACTGCGGCTCGGTACTAATGACATGGTACATTCTAGTTGGTCTCCGGGAGGCGTTCTGCATCCGGTCTCCGTGCAGAATAATTTCTCCATCTTTAGGCCTATTGGTTGAGGGTTTAAATCTCATTAATGAATTTGGGGATTGGCATGTACATCTGTGTGATTCATATTTTGACACTAAAATTTCTCTATTATTATAATGATGGAAGAGAGAATGATGATGATTTAAATAATTATTATAATAGAATTATTATAAAAAAGAGAAATTAGAAGATAAATAATAAAAAATATTTGATATAAGAAATTGAAATATAAATTTTAAATTTTTTTATAGATATATATATATTTAAAATTTTGAATTCTAATATATTTCGAAGGGCATTTTATTTTAAATTTTTTAAAACAAGTTATTCTATGAGTTAACAAGTCAAGTCGAGGTTGGCTCAATTTGACTTGTTGGCTCATCGAGCTCGGTTCTTAAGTTATGTATCAAATTGGCTTCCCATAATTCCTATTTTATTGAACTTCAAGTTGATTCTCAGTTTTTTTTGGAGAGAGAGAGAAATGCCTTACATCATTAAAAGGAAAAACAATAATTAATAGCAACTAAAGAAAATAAAAAACAACAAAACATGGAGAAATGGCAGTTGAAAAATATTACTGGAGACCTGAAATGGTACCCATATAATCATAGATATAGCTCTCACAGCAGCTCTCCTCATGTAGCTGATTATTTCTTTTCCTCCAAATATTATATATAACAAAGGAAGTAATGAACAAATGGAAGCATGATTACTGAACTCATGAGAATAAAAATAGCTAAGAGATTTTTTGGTTGGATTATTTTAGTGAGTAAAGTATTCTAAATGCAGGAATTTTATAAATTTTGATGTTTAGTTGGAATACAAAATGATGCAAAGTATAAAGCATAGTAAATATAATGTAAAGTGAAGTGGTTTATTTTGAGTGTAAACTAAATTCCTCTGACTTTTAGTGAAAATCATCTACACTGCAAGCTTGTTTCACCACCATTAGTCACCATCAGCCACCGCTATCCATCGCCTTCTGCCGGGCAGCACCACTGCTACACGCTGATGCCACTCATCACCATTAAGAACTATACTTTACATTTATTACTTCTAACAAAAAAAAATCATTAACCTGTATTTATTTAACATTCATCAAACTAATTTCAAAATATTTATTTTACATTGTAATCAATTTTTAGCCAATTAAATAGGCTCTACTCTGATTTTCAACTGCATATAATGCCATCTTTAATGAGGAAATTAGTTGTTCTCAATCCTTCCAGACCAGCATGTTAATTGAATACAAAAAATCTGGCAGAACAACTTTTGTCATATCTAATTAGCCCAAACACTATCAAGCAAATGTGAACTAAGGGCTTTCTCATAATTAGATAATGAGAAAGCTTCATGATTATGCCAAATGAAGTAATCATTACTCGTGAATAAATGAGTATTTTATAAGGCAACTGACATGTTGTATGCTTCCATCGTTCCACAACAAATATATCTAAGGCTCTACATTGATATCCTGAGCATATTCTTTTCTAAATAGGCAATGCATGTTATATTGTTACATCCTGGAATATTCACGTCGCTAGAGAAATATAAAATTTAACATCTTAGTTTTGTATGAAGATCCAGCACACAATCCGATAAGAAAGAGTGTAGTAATCATAAAAAAAATCAAGATTCTTACATGAAAAATCCTGGAAAGGGGAACAACCACGGGTCTAATCCAGTTTGAATGAATCCACTATTATATGCAGTTGATTACAAATGACGCCCTTCCTTGGGGGAAAATCTTGGCTTGATGTAATAAATATACATCATATAAAATGCATTACATGATGGGACTTGAAAAAATTACTAATGATTTGTTTGTTTGGTCGGTAGAACCATAGTCGATAGGCAACGGAGGTTGGAAAGACCGTAGTTTGTTGACGGTGGTTGGAGGGACCGTAGTTGGAGGGTGACAGTGGTCAGAAAAAACAGGTTTCAAGAGACAAAGGTCGAAATGACCACAATCTAGCTATGGAGGTCGGAATGACCGTAATCGGTGGATGACAATGGTCAAAAAAATCGTTGTTTGACGATGAATGTTAGAAGGACAGTAGTAAGCAGGCGAAAGTGGCCAGAAAGACCGTTAATAACGACGGAGGTTAGAAGGACCGTAGTTGGCAGGCGATAGTGGTCAGAAAGACAGTTGTTTGGTGAAGGACGTCAGATGGACCGTAGTTGGTTGGCGACGGAGGTCAAAAGTCTGGAGTCAGGCAGATGTCCGACGAAAGTCCGAAGATTGGGAGAAGTCCGGCGACAGCGAAAGTCCGGCTTCAGGTAGAAGTCCAACGAAAGTCCAATGGCTGGAAGAAGTCCAGGGACGGGTGGAAGTCAAGCGTCGGGTAGCAGTTCGGTGGCGGTCAGAACTTCGACATCAGGTAGAAGTCTATCGAAGGTTAGAAGTTCGACAACGGGTGGAAGTCCGACCTTGGGTAGAAATCTGGTGACGAGAGGAAGTTCGACGTTGGGTAGAAGTCCGACGACTAGCGAATGTTCGGCATCGGGTAAAAATGGATAGAAGTTCGTTGTCGGGTAGAAATTCAGTGATGGGTGGAAGTCCAGCATCGGGTAGAAGTCTAACAAAAGTCCGGTGATGGGCGGAAGTTTGACGTCGGTTAGAAGTTTGACGAAAGTCCGGTGATGGGTGGAAGTCCATCATATGGTAGAAATCCAGCTACAAGCAGAAGTTCGGTAGAAGTCCGATGAAAGTCCGACGATGGGCAGAAGTCTGGCAACGAGTGGAAGTCCGACGTCAAGTAGAAATCTAGCGACAAGCAGAAATTCAACGTCGGTCAGTGAACAGGAGGTGATCAAGGAGCTTGGTGGCAAGAGAAATATCCTCTCATCTCTTCTTTCTCTCATTGTGTTGGCCCCCACCTCATGAGAAATGATGGGTATATTTACAGTTTTCTGAGAGTGTCATGACTACTAAATAGGAGAAAGATCAAGGGTAAATTGTGAGTGGTTTGAATGGACGGGCAATGTTGAATATGTTGATCATGGAGCGTTTATTAGGAATTTGAATTCCGTAATGTTATCAGAATTCAGCGATCTTGGGCTCGTTGAATTCGTCTCGTCGATCCACTCAATTTACCTATAAACATATCATGTTCGGAAAATGTTTGGTAATCCAAATTATGATTTGAACCTTCCGAATGCACTTCGGGTCTTCGATTTGGGCCCATTTGGGCTCGAATTGAGCCAAATTTGGTGTCGTTGGGTTTGTATTTAAAGACGTCAAGTTCGACTACAAGTTTGCACAAATTGGAGTTCATATGATCCCAAATTTAATTTTGAAAGTTTTCAATCTTGCTTTTGCCTCGTGATTCGTGCTCAATCAAGGTAATTTTTTTATGACATATCAATTATAACATTCCAGCAACTTACAAATAAATCATATTTATCTAAAGTTTTGTTTGAGACAGTTTTTTTTATTGCTTTCTAAAATAATTTTTCAGTACAAAATTTTTTAAAATTATATTTTGTAATAAAAATTTTACTTTTAAAAATATTAAAAAAATTGTCTCCAACAATGCATAAATTTCTTTAGATGCACGATTGCTATATCATTGTATTATGCTATGTCATCATGAAATCATAAATGTCTATATATTTTTAATAAATAAAAAAAGAAAAGCTATGACTAAAAGATAATGGGCGTGCACTCCGAATAGTCGATCGCCACTACAATCCACTAAACTTCTTTCGCACGAATATTTAGATCACAGTGATTGATATGAAATCATGTTTTAGCTATTTAATCATTATATCGTTGAATTATTTCAAGCCCACGATTTGGTGGAAGTGGGCCCATTTAGATGACAACATTCAATGGGCCGTATGAATCCAATTAAACTGCCCACCCACTCAAACTTTTAAAAAAATAAAAATAAAAACACTTAAGACGTGCGATAGCTTCAGCCAGCGTGTGGTCGGGCTCTCTCTCTCTTGATTCCTACTGCGTTTAATTCGTCATTTTATATTGGGCATTTATTTTTTATGTAATTAATAGATAATTAAAGTTATTTAAGAAATATAATAAATGCCTTTTAATCAATTTGCTATTCAAGATTAATTAAAAAGGAAAAAATTTATGAATCAAGGATTTTTTTCGAGGTGACTATAAACTTTTTTACGGTGGTTGTAAAGTTGTGATAGAAAAAAAGAAAAAAAGATTTTTTTTTTAAATTGTAATTCTAAAAATATTAAACTTTTGTGTATTTATTTATTGCTTCATCAATTTAAAATAAATAATAATAATTTACATAAATCATAACTGACACGCGTCGGTTTTTATTTGAACGAGCTCATCTGAAACCTGCAATATCGTTCCAACATTCATCGGGCTGGCACTCTGCCTGACCGAAGCTAGCTTCTCATGATAACGACACCGAAGGTGGGCCCGAAAAATAAACCCGCCCAACAAAAACACAAGCCATTTATTGTTGGGCCCCACATGGTAACGGGCAAATTTAAGAAGATTAATAGCACATAAATATTTTTTTTTCTTAATGCACAATCACTTAATTAATAAATCAAATGGTTGGAGGGCATAACCATCCCATAAAATCTCATCAATTATTTAGATATTAAATTTATATTCCATCTAACTCATTGTCCTCATCATCTTCTCTAATAATATCTCCCCAAAAATATACAATTACAACAATTACAATAATAAAAAATTAAATATTTAAAATAATTAATAATATTTAAAAATCCCACTGAGTCTCACGAACCGACAGGAGCTCATTTATAGTGGGACGAGTTCGAGTTCGAGCTCGACTTTTAAGCTCTAGCTCAAGTTCGAGCTAACTTTCTGATCGACAAGCCGAGCTCGATAAGGCCACTGCTCGACTCGTTTACACCCCTCATTGGGAAGGTCAATATTTTATGTGACAAAGTCATCTAAAGCAACTCTCTCTAATGTTATTTGCCGTTGGAGCTACTCCAACCTTTTCACGTATATGCTCGTTTGGTATTCTATCTCTAAGTGTAAAATAATTAAGAAAAATAAAGGCAAATTGAAGGGAACAAAAGTTAAAATAGGTGTATTTTTTTTTTTAAAAGAAAAATAAAGTTAGAGCCTCACGCGCTCAACTTAGCATATTGTCTATGCCAGCTATTTATTCTCTATCATAAAAAGATTTGAACTTCACCTACCACAACCACAAGCAAATGTAATGTCAACTTTGTCCACTGCACATTTTTATTCCTATTTAATTTGATTAATTCACAGGAACTGCATTTGCACCAACTAAAAAGGTGTTCAAAATGAAATAAATCTATGGGGCCATCTGATTTATTGAGAAAGACAGAGTAAAAACATTTAATGTTTTTTTTTATTTGAAATAAAATAAATATAGTGTGCTGATGATGATGAACAATGGCTAGTAGCTGTATCAAGAGGAAATAGTGGCGGATAGTCGCCATGACTAGCGAGGGTAGCAATAGGTGGCATAGACCGATAGCTGTGGCGACTAGTGGTGCGTAGCATGCAACAGCCTACACTAAAAAAAATTAAGTGTATTTAAAAATCAGTCAAACCTGATGGTTTTTTAAGTACACAAAATTAAACCAGAGAGTAAATTCGAAATACTTCAAAATTTTATTCTATATTACTTTTACTTCAAATCAAACACGAATATTTTAAAAACTTAGAATTCTTTGCATCTATTATACTTAAAATCAAACTGCTACTTAATCTGTTTTTTTTTTTTTTAGGATTATGAAGCCTCTCTAATTCTATAATTCACACTGAAACTCCAAAATTAGATCACTGAGAGTATCCAAAAGCTCTTTTAGTGTTTTGTTATTACCAGTCACACTCATCAAGCAATGATAGCTCCAAATACAATCATGGAGATAGATGCCTAAAACAATTCCCAGTGGATTCGTACAGTTCACACAGATAAAAGAACTAACTACAACAATTTTCATGCAGAAGCAAACTATGGTAAAGAGTATCGAATTTGACTGAAATATGTTGAAACATACAAAGAAGGAATGTATTATAGTATGATGGCTTTGAATTTGATGTGGGAACTAACCTTCTGTGCTAATCTCACACAAACTACATTCTGCATAGCCTTCAACTGCTACAATGGTTAGATGAACTACCCCCTTATTCTCCTCGACTCTCAACAACATTCTATACAAGAATTCAATCTATTATTTGCGAAGTATAGATAGAGCTAGCCTACATCAACATCTTCCTCACAGATATGTATCATATGTACCAGCTTCCTCGCAAAACTGACCACCGATGTGCCGAGGGGCCTCGAACTTGTTGATGCTGTATATCTCACAGGGAACCCATGGAAAATGCGGCAGGAATTCAAAGGTACAAGCTGGAATCATTGGGCAGTTTGAAGGTCATTCTACTGAAGTGATGGAAGGCATTCTTCTGGGTTGGCATAGAAGTAGTCCTCTTCCTTGGGATGATCAGGAACTAGTGATCTTCTTCCAGGTTTTCCCGTGCGATTCGCATGAGTAGCCTTCACCGACGTAGAGAATTCATTCCAATCCATTGATCCATTGTTGTACCGATCGATCAGCTCGACAAGAAGTTTACGGTCCAACAGGAAGGTCTTCCTGTAGCCCAAGTATCTAAAAGATTGCAACACGTTTAACAAGACCATAATCCTTTATTAGCTAAGTTGCAAAACTAATAGATAGCCGTTTTTGAATAATGTAGAAGTGAAAATTTAAGAAAAATGTTCATGTGTATTTGATTCAGCAAAAAAAACTAGCAATGTATATGCAACTACTCATACAAACTTATAGAAATGTTCAGAGAAGTACCTGCGATGACCTTCAACAACCTTAGCCATGTTGCCATCATATGTAGGAACAAATATGTCGCTCTCCAATGATACCAGATAATCTAATGCAGCCATCTGTGAAGAGTGATTCTGGAAGAACCTAAGATCAGAGGGTTCCAACAGTGTCTCCTTTCTCACCTATAATCCCACATAATTACAGCAAAAACTAAGATAAAATAACCTAAAAGTAAAAGTAGCATGTTAATTATTCATGATTTGGCATAACTGACCACATTCGGATAAGCCGCATTTAAAGCAGCCATTCTTCTGGATCCACCATATATTTCTCCAGCAGCAATGTATATAGTGGTACTGCCATCAATATCCAATGCTTTCAACACAAGAGCAGTCTCTTCTGGTGTCAAAGGGCAGAGACCATCCTTCCTTTTCAGGCTAGAGTTTATTATTTTTTCCTTCCACCAAGGGTATGCATATCTGTATAAATAAATTCGCAACTATCATCATCATCATCAACAACAACAACAACATCAAGCCTTTGTCCCACTACGTGGGATCGGCTATATGAATCCTTTTTGCCATTGTGTTATGTTAAAAGTCAAATTCTCAATTAAATCTAATAAAGAAGGATAATTTATAATATTTTCTAACCATGTCTTTTTCTAACCATGTCTTTTTAGGTCTACCTCTACCTTTCTTAACACAAGTCAAATCTAATACCTCAATTGTCCTAAATGAGTCATCGGAAGGCCTCCATTTAATGTGACCAAACCATCTAAGGCGACTCTCTCTATTCTTATCTTCCACTGGAGCTACTCCAACCTTTTCACGTATATGCTCATTTCGTATCCTATCTCTAAGGATAATGCCACTCATCCACCTAAGCATCCTCATCTCTTCAACACTTAACTTAGTATTATGCTTCGCAACTATCATCAAGCAACCTAAAAGTTCATAACAAATTACTTAAACTCATCAGAAATGAATGAATAAGAATACAACGCATATTATATGCACCTCATTCGTGTCAGCTCGTTGACTTCGCCATCGGTGCAGCCATGAGTACAGCCTGAAAATGCCAACATGTCCATTTCGTATCGGAGGTGGAGGACTAGAAAAGGGCCATTTCTTTGAAGCAAGCTGATCACTCTCCTGCCCAATTCCTCAATCTGAGGAGTAAATCTAAGAGCAGAATAATTCACCCTGCAGCGAAGTTTCTGTATCTTCGCAGGCAATCCGTTATTAGCAAGCCTGGCATCAGTTCTATTCAAATGCAAGATCTTGTGCTTCTGTATCAACGGCAGAATCTGCTAAAAAAATTTATCATTCCCCAACTCTTCAATATGTAACACAAACTATAAAAGGTCAGCAGCAATTTCCAAAATAAACACAATCTGACCTGATTTTTGTAATAAGAAAGATCAGACCAGCTAATAGGTGGCATGGAATAATACAACCCCAACTCCACTCTTAGTTTCAATCTTGGTGGGAGCTCTTTCAATATCCTCACTTCATCCCTCAATGAAGTAATAAAATGGTCTACATCAAATATGTCTTCAAACTCACTGCCACATATTAGGTTTTCTTCAATTTCTAGAAACAATGAAAGTTACCCTAGCCTTTAAAATAAATTCAGAATCAATGAAGCAACTATAAAATAAGGCTTCGTTTGGGACGACTTTCTTCCAGCTTCTTAAAACGGCTTTCCAGTACAAAAATTTTAATTTTTTACTAGAAAGCCGCCTTAAGAAGTAATAAGAAAGTCATCCCAAACAAAACATAAGTTTAACTAATCTTTAAGTCATGAGATGCAATCCAACAACCGAACATACCTCGGATCATTCCAGAACGATGTTTTATCCAACTCTGGTACAATGAGGGTCACATTCAAGTATCTTGCAATAGCTGCCATATCACATATCTGCAATGATCAGTTATGATGCATAAAGGATTCAGGAGCCCGCAAGCTAGAAATAACAATAAAAACATTTAAGCTTTTTAATACATACTGCAGCTCGCATTTGATTTAGTCCACCATTGCAAGAAACAATCAAGTACCCATTGTTCTTATAGATTCCTGAAGCAAAAAAAATGAACATTGGAATATAGCCATCAGAGATTATTATTAATTTTGATTGGAGATTATAGAAAATAAGGATGATTGTTCTTATAACAATTACATAACCAGGTATGACATGAGCTGAGAAGTTGATTATAACACCAATACCAATCAGTAACAAGAGAAACATTGAAAGGTAAGGACCATTTGCGTATAAATGCAGGACATAAAGAATTCGATCAAGAGGTCTCAATGAAATTGAAAGATTTCCTAGATTTTGCGTATCCAGTTTTGGCAGGATATATTAAAGGGGAAAAGTAGGTCATTTTCCAATCTAACAATCACCATTCCTACAGGAGTGCAGACAAGAATCAGTTTCCAACAAAACCCAAAAACAATAAAACAATTGATGAGGAAGAAAGCCGCTCACTCTTGGGAGGAAGAACAATCTTCCGAGCAACAATGGAGGAGGACTCGAAGATACCCACAGGATCCGAAGGAGTGAAGCAAGAAGGCCAGGCCTTGAAAACCCTCGGCCCCCACAACTCCCTCAGCGCCGTAAGTTGCACCAAACACGTCCACAGAAGAACGGTGGTGGTTGCTCGGATCATCCACATCTTCATCCTCGACCTCGGCATGATAGCGCCCTTAAACTTCTCAACCGCAGCCGTCTTCCCCATATTCCTCTCCCAGAGCTCAGATCTACGCGGCGGCATCTCCGGTTTGCACATCCCCGGAAACCAGAATGTTTCCGCACGAATTCATAGCAACTTCAGCTCCCGATCAACATCAACCAAACAAACAAAGTCCTCTCTTTCCCACTCAATCTCCTTCCCCAAACCAAATCAATTCCATCTCTTCACGTCCTACACTATATTTATTCGAGAACTAACAATGCAGCTTCACAGGGCAAACGATTCCCCTTCCAACCGCCAAATCGTACACAAAATCACCAAAAAATAAATAAATAACTAAAGAATTGAGCCACACCGGATGCTCACAACAAAATACTTGCGAAAAAAACTATTTATAACACTCCCCGCCTTCCCCCACCCAAACAACACGAATCCGCTCACCAGAAAACTTATAAAAAACGGAGCTTTAGTAAGAAAAAACTGCTCCTTTTAGGTCAATGGAACGAGATCAACGGCTCCTGGAAACCTGCGTCAACTTCAGAACTCGCCCGGATAAGAAAGCGGGCAGAGCACCTCTGCCCGCTTCGATTTATCATCACCGAAGACGAGGGGGGTGAGCTTTTGTTCCCTTTGAGCGTCGGTGGCGTACATGTGAGTCTCGCCGCCGTACAATCCCGTGTACATTCAGCTTGTGCCCATCTATACCGTCCATTCCAGCGAGGCAGGCCAGGGCGGGAGCCAGTGGTCGACTATGAATCGGGTCAGGTTTTACTCTTTTGAACTATGTGGTATGCACGTAAATTTAATTTAAGAGAAATTTACATGTGGAGAATTCAAAATTACATCTAAATTTTTATTTGTTATGATATAATCATTATGATTATATTTACTATATTATTACAATATATTATAGCTATTTTCATTTAATATAATTTTTTATTTATTATTCGTACTTATAACATATTATATTTGTTGCATCCTGGAATATTCGTGGCGTTAGAGAAGTATAAATTTTCATCTTAGCAATGCACGAATACCCAGCACACAAACAGAAAGAGAGAAGTAAAACACTCGATCTTTTTTACGTGGAAACCCCGAAGATGGAAAAATCACGGGGTCTTATCCAGGTATAAAGATTCCACTAAATTTGAGTGAATTATAAATGTTGATCCGTCCCTTGACTTAGAGGTGGTCCAATTACAGTAGTTTGAAGAGTTAGTCAAAGGTTTGGAGATGATCAGGCGGAAGTTTGACGGCGTCCGAGCAGAAATTCAACTGATGGGGAATGATCTGACAAAGGTCGAGCAGAAGTCTGACGATGCTCGATAGCCAGGTGGAAATCTGGAGGCGGTCGACGGCCGAGCTATAGTCCAACAATGGTCGGGCTGAAGTCCAATGAAGACCGGGCTAAAGTTCGATGACGGTCGGGCTGAAGTACGGCGGCGGTTGGCGACCGGGAGGTGGTGATGGAGCTCTTGAAGCTTGAGAGCTCTCTCCAATCTCTAGCCAAAGGTCCCCTCATGTAGAGTGTGGGAGTCTATTTATAGATTTTGATGAGTGGCATACCCCGTAAATATAGAGAAGATCTTGGGTAGGTTTGTAGTGCTCCATCGGATGACCCGTATTGATTCCCCTGATCGTAGAGTGTTTACCGAACATTTGAATGTCTTAATGATATCAAAATTTGATGATCTTGAGCTCGTTGGATTCATCTCATCGAGCCACTCGATTCGACTATAAGCATGTCATGTTTGCAAACCATTTGGTAATCCAAATTGTAGTTTGAACCTTCCAAAAATGCTTCAAGACTTTGATTTGAATCTATTTGAGCTTGGATTGAGTCGAATTTGTTGTCGTTGGGTTCGTATTTTTGTGACGATCAATTCGACTATAAGTTTGCTGCAATCATAGTTCGAATGATACCAATTTTTATTTTGGAAACTTCCAACTTGATTTTGCCTCAAGATTCGTACACGATCAAAATGATTTTTTCTGACGTATCAATATTATAATTATTGTGACTATATTGTGTTATGTTCTACTTCATTATTTAACAAATTATATCATATAATTTAACTATTTTATAAATTTCAGATATCATGCACTCATATAACAATTTTAACTTTAAATAATATAAAAAAATAGCATCCTCTTTTCTCTCTCCATTATAATCCGTTCGCCTTGTCATTCTCAAACAACTGATCTCATCACCCTTTGCAATCGCTGATGTGATGATTATCTTTTGCCCTCATTATGGTTAACTTGAGCTAATATGTGCTTCGAAAACTATTTTGATATCTCTCCTGTCATGTTGAACTTACATATTGAAAGCCTTTTTTTTTTTTTCATCACATTCTTGATATTTCTTGTATTATATCATTTAATTAGGTATTTATTTACCCTAATATTTTTCATTTGAACATTAGTAATATAAATTGCAACATTTTGATTGTTAAGTGTGCCACTTCATGAGATTATTTTAATCTAATAATTACTTTAATAAGGCATGATAGGGTAGTTGTTGCGTCCTGGAGTATTCGCGGCAGTAGAGAAATATATAGTTTAACGTCTTAGCATTGTATGAAGATCCAGCACACAATTAGATAAGAGAGAGAGAGTGAAGCGTTCATAAGAGACACCAGAGTTTTTTTTACGTGGAAACCCCTGAATCCACGGGGTCTGACCCAATTTGAATGAATCCATTAGTATTTACATTAGATTACAAATGAGGCCCTTCTTAGGGAGAAGTCTTGGCTTGATGTTACAAATGTATGTCATATAGAGCACATTATATGGTGGGAGTTACAATAATCAACATAAGCATGTTTTTTTGCTTGGAAGGGCCATTATAGGTGATGAAGGTCGAAAGGACCGTAGTCGGAAGGAGACAGAGGTTTGAAAGACCGTTGTCTGGTGATGGAGGTTGGAAGGATCATAGTTGGCAAGAGATAGAGGTCCGAAAGACCGTGGTTGGCAGGACACCAGGATTAGAAAGTTCGTTATTTGTTGATGGAGGTCGGAAGGACCATAGTAGGCAGCGGAGGTCGGAAGGACCGTAGTCTGTAGGAGACCGGGGTCTAAAAGACCGTAGTATAACGACGGTACTCTGGTAGAACTTTGGACTTCACGTGGTGGCCTAATAGAAGTTCGGGCCTCATGTGGTGGTCCGGCAGAAGTCCGAGCTTGGGGTGGTGGTCCGGCATAAGTTCGGGCGTCAGACGGTGATCCGGTGGAAGTCCGGGCCTCAGGTTGTGGTCCAACAGAAGTCTGGGGCCTTAAAGCGGAGCAACGACGTCAGACGGTGGTCCGATGGAAGTCCGGGCCTCAGGTGGTGGTACGGAAGAAATCCAGGGCCTTAAGTGGTTGTCTGGCGGAGAAACGACGTCACGTGGTGGTCCGATGGAAGTCCAGGCCTCATGTGGTGGTCTGACAGAAGTCCGGGGCCTTAAGTGGTGGTCCGACGGAGGTGAGGGCCTCAAGTGGTGGTCCGACGGAGCAACGACGTCAGGTGGTGGTCTGACGGAGGTGAGGGCCTCAAGTGGTGGTCCAGCATAGCAACGACGTCGGGTGGTGGTCCGGCGTAGGTGAGGTCCTCAAGTGGTCGTCTGGTGGAGCAACGACGTCAGGTGGTGGTCCGATGGAGCAACGACGTCAGGTGATGGTCCGGCGGAGGTGAGGGCCTCTAAGTGGTGGACTGGCGGAAGTCCGATGGTGGTCGAGGAGGAGATTCTTCCTTCTTCTCTTCTTGCTTTGATCTCCCTGTCAAGAGAAATGAGGGGTATATTTATAGATTTATGGAGTGACATGGACCGTAACTAGGTGAGAAATCAAGGGTAAATGGGGAGTGGTTGAATGAACGGCGGATATTGAATCCCTTGATCATGTACCATTCATTAGTCATTTGAAGGTCTTAATGATGTCGAAATTCAACGATCTTGAGCTCGTTGGATTCGTGTCGTCAAGCCGCTCGATTCAACTGTAAGCACGTCATGTTTGGAAACCGTTTGGTAACCCAAATTGTGGTTCGAAACCCTCCAACTATGCTTCTGGTCCTTGATTTGGACTCATTTGGGCTTGAATTGAGTCGAATTTGGTGTCGTTGGGTTCGTATTTCCGAGACGTTCAGTTTGACTATAAGTTTGCTAAAATCGATGTTCAGATTTAATTTCGAAAGCTTACAACTTGATTTTGCATTGAGATTCGTGCCCGACCAAGATAATTTTTTAGAAAGAGAAATTAAAAACACAAGAATGCCACTCTTGGAGTTTTAAGCTTCGCTTGGGACAACTTTTGACAATTGGTTTTTCACTGCTTTTAAAAAAAAAATTATGCTATAAACCTACTTTAAAAAATAATAAAGAATCTCTTCCAAACAAAGCATTAAAGTGTCCACCCAAAACATTCCCGACTCATTATCAATATTTTGCCAACTTACAAGTAATGCAATCTAAAATAAAATTTAACATCATAAATTTGAGTTTATCCATATGCCCCTCAAAATATTAATAGACCTAACACTTTTTAGGAAGTTTATAGTAATAGAACACTTGGCACCATGACTACCTAAACATCAGCAGAACTTCCTTTTACTCTCAAGTCAATATAGTAAAAACAAGCATTGCTTAGTATAATTTCCTCTAAAAAAATGTTCATATATGGCTCTCTCTTAAGATTAATTATTTTGTGCGGACACCGAACGTCATCCGGAGACAACCAAAACACGCCACGTCACCACTTCGCTGTATACCGCAGCTCGTTACCGCTGACATGGCTACGCCTGATTTGTCTCCGGACGCAGAGTTGCGTCCAGCATCCGCATAGAATAATTTCTCCTCTCTAAAGGAGCTGAAAAGAAGAATGAGAAGATAACTAAATTATAGAAACAGATCATATAGATGAATATGGAATCAATTTGCTAGAACACATTGCATATACTGAAATTAGGAGATGGGTTCTAATAAAAACACCACCTTTTCTCCATCACAGGGTGATAATGCAATGAGGAATAAACAAGATAAATTACAATACTATACATGCACCTTTTTACAACAATGAGACATCCACACACACCCTTATCCTCCTGTAAATATATATAGAGAAGAAGGAAAAAAAAGAGAAGAAATTATTTCCAGATCATCAGCAAGAATGATATTAATTTAGACTAACCTAAGATTGACGCCTGAAATTTCACTCAGAATTTACAACAAGTAAGTGCAGCCCTCCATCGATGCTTCCACGAGTGCTTTCGTTCAGCTTTTGCCATTTTTACAGGGCTGCTGCTCCAGTCTGACTGCAATCTGCCATTCCAACAAAATATGTTCAGGTTGAAATGAAGAAAAAATGGGCCACAGGAACAAAGAATAGACAGAATCACTGAGATTATTTACCAGTGCATAATATGATTATTGAAACTAACCACAATATTATTTAGATTTTGGTCCAATGCTCGAGATGATCTATGTTATAAGTTTTAAATTCATCGAAATCTGTGCAGAATAAGGCAGAAAAAGAGAAACAAGGAGCAAAACACATTTCATTTGGTTGGTGCTTCAACGATGATTAACAAATCTTTGACTCATTTTCCATTCAGAACAAACAGATTTGGAAAATGAGGACCAATCATTGACAGTTAACTAGAGATGTTATGAAAGGGTGCCATGCAATATAAAGCACTAAAATGGATTTTCGATATCCTTGACAGATGTATATTTGATGTCTGTTTTGTTTCTCTCGATGTTAAACACTCGAATTTCTTCTGAAATCTATCACAGGAACCAGTTGAATCAATGGTTTCAAAATTACGCACCACTTGGTGGAAGTTGTGGTAAAATAAATTAATAAACATTTCTGATGCTCCATTTAGTTTCAAAATAAATCTAATGTTCATGATGGTAAAAATGGAAATATACTTACATGGGAAATGCAAAGGAACGTGTACTTGTTGTGCTACTATCTGACCTAAGAGATATGTTGCCAGAGTAAGGTATATGACCTGAAGTGATTATGGGACCAGACAAAGCAGCAGTTCCAGGAAGACTTGCGTCTTCATGAATAAGATGTCCAGATAAATTTTGAGTTGCGGTTGCGCCGCCAATTATAAGCTCTTCGGTTCCTGAGCCGATTCGTGTTGGCACACTTTGATGGTTTATAATTTCGCTCTCGCTGCCAACAATAGATATGTCTTTAGCCTCTAAATCAGAAGCGAGCATCCTATCATGCAACTTGACATCTTCAGAAGCCCCTTTAATATTATCAATCCTATTTGACTTCATGTCAGCACAAGTAACAGGAAATGATGAGGCGTTCTCAAATAGATCATTGTTGCTCCAAACTGTTTCTTCAATCTGCTTGCACTCTTTAGCTTGCATAGGAGAGGCCATTGTGATTATATTTCATCTTTCTCTGTCACCTATGATATACACAACAAATACAATTTGTTCAATGGCATTATCCTCTTATGCACAGAAGTCAGGAACATAAATGCATAGATATGCATGAATTATGCCGTACAAAGATATATATATATATATATATATATAGGGTAAGATGATTACTGTTTATGCATATCCTGAACCAATACAAAAACATTCTAATTAAAATTTAACGTGTTATCATAGAGCGCTACTGTTCTTATAGTAGTACTTGGAAAGAGAACCAAGCATTCAATTCCAATTCCTCCAATAAATTACAGCGCACTTCTTTTACCCCTTACCTGATCAAAGTTTTGCCTCAGATCTTGATTCTCATTAAAGCTGTCTCTATGACTAGATGAATCCACTTGAGGAAAATCAGTGTTAAATTCCTGCAAAAGGTTTGATTTTTGTTCAATTATCTTCTCAGAAGATATCTTACCTGCAGTGTTTTCTGTTTTCTATTTTGTCCCTTTCATAATTTGCATTGCCAGAATAACAGTGTTTGGCAAGATAACCATTAACTATTAAGGAATCTCAAATCATTCATAACAGGTACGTTTGCCTCATTCAAAGTAGTTGCATATTTAAATGGACTAGAACATTCTGTCGCCAACATGTTTTTCCAAAATTTTCCCAAAGGATCCTAGCACTTGACTTGTTGATGAGGGTTTAAAATCTTCTGAGCTGCCATTGTCTGTCTTCTCTACCACAAGTACACTAATAACAGTCACTTTAGGTAACTTTGAGCTAGAATAAATGCCTTTGGAAACCTTATCATATTCTACCAAGACTTTCTCAAAGCATTGCACAATTTGATCAGTACATATGTCCTCGACTGTAGGAGTTGGTAGAAACAGGACAATGTGGCAGTTCAACCTCAGCAATAGTTTTGAACAATAAAACAAATCTTCCTTGGGAATCAGGCAGAGATCAGCAATGGTATTAGGACATGGAACAACTCTGCAGTTACACTCATCCTTACAAAAATTAAAAGTATCTTGCATGTCTGACAAATAATAAACATCCAAATCATTCTGAGATTGAGAAAATCTAAAGGTTGGAAGCCTTTCACCTCTACTGCTGCTGGCTCAAAAGCTTTTTCTTTTAAGCTAGCTCCATCTCCTAATTTCAGCATATCAGAAGGGAAATTCTTGTTACTATAGTACTCAAATAGGAGGCAGGATCACCGTACTCATACGGTGGTTCTGCGCATCTGATCATGAAGAGAACCATGGAGCTTATAAGTATAAGAATTTAATCAATTGAAAGTAATAGTAAGGCCTCCTACTTCAATCCTATCATATCAAAATGGTAAACTGAATTTTAAAAATAGTGCATGGAAACATGTGATCCATCTAAAATTAGATTAAGCCAATGCTTTCCGCGTTGTTACTAATCAGTTCAAAAGTTTTTCAACCATAATTTCATATTATATATAATCTTAGTTATCAAGTAGATAAAAATTTCTCAATAAATGATATGGCAGTAGCTAGTGTAACATAAAACATGACAGGACAAATGATATGTCTAAGGGCATGACAAAAGGGGATAAAAGTGAGAGGAGAGAAGAGAATGCGGCTTCGGTTGTGTGAGGCGGAGGGGCCAGAGGTTCGTTCATGATTCACATGGAGAAATCAAAGGAACGGCCTAGTGCCGTTCACGATTAGCACAAGAAGGCTTGGTACGACTAAGGGCCCAATTGTGTGGAGGCATAGGTCTGCCTTCGAGCAAGAGCAGCAGAGGAAAAAGCAGTGGATCAAGAACCTCAGGGCCGCAAGATCAAGAACCTCGGAGCGGATCATGTGGGAGTCAGTTGCGCACAGAAGTGTGCAAGAAGCGGGCTTGGGCTTGGTATCTGATGGGTGGCTCGTGCGAAGTCACAGGTTGGAGTGCACACGGGTGCCCGGGGACGAAGCGATCCTGAGGATGCTTAGTGCTAGAGAGCGGGTATGCCGTGTAGGAGCTGGCAATGCACAAGGCACGGGAGTGTGGATGACAGGAAGACCACTGACGGGCGCAGGTGTGCGTGAATTATAAGGCGCGGGAGCGCAAACTGTAGCCGTGGATTGGGACGCATAATGGAGGTCGAGTGAGAGCAGGATTGGGCTCGACTAGGAGAGTTTGCTCATGGATTTAGTACAAAGAGCCGGTCAGATCGCAACAGGTAGGGATTCTTGCGAATAGATGATTCTTTGATATACATTAAAAAATTTGGATCAAGGTGGAGATTGTTGTATTTTGGTCAAGTTTTAGGATTCGTGTTGCTCCGCAAGACATCACACCGTTGTCACTACCTATATATAAAGATTATATGTGATGTATTAAATGGAAAATTTTGAATAAAGCTGAGTTTTGTTTTCCTCCAAACCCCCTCTCTCCCTTCTCTCCCTCTCCCCCTCACCTAAGAAAAATCAAGAAGCTTCTTCCTCTCCAAGAATCCCAACATCTAGGATCTAAGGCCGATGTCGACTCCAGTCGCCTCATAAGCTCTCAAATTCGAACATTTTCTTTAACATATGTTGTTGGAATATAAGCCCCAACTTTCTAAATCAAATTGATCAACTTAAACAAAAAAATCTAATTTTAAAATGTAAAGCCCAACATGGAATAATTTGAGTACCTTTGAATTTTTCAGAATAAAATGCTCCTATATTTTCCTCCCTTTGACTTCATTCTTATAAATCTAATTTCAAATTGATCACAATAATGAAATGTTGGAAGATTAGGAAAGAGAATTGGTGGACCTAATGAGCTAAACAATAAATAACGACTAAATTCAATAGTAATACTTACATAAACTTCTAAAAATAAAAATACAGAACATATCAAGTAAAGAAGATCTAACCTGTATAATTGACCAAATGAGCTAAACTTTTCTTCGTCTCAATTTAAACTTGGAATATGGAAACAAAAAGGAGCACCATGAAATAGAGATCGTTCATCTTGGAGAACTGAGAAAGACTATCAATTGTCACTTTATCTGGCACAATTAAAACAAACATTTAATGAATAGGGAATAAATGTAAAATGTGGAGTACAATATATACATCTAAGGCAAAGAAAACCTCATAAAAGCTCAGTAATTCAGAAGTCCAACAACAAAAATAAGCCCCATAAAAGGATAATTGCTTAGAAACTAATGAAGCGGAAAAAGCGTAGGTTAATGGCTTTTAAAAAGGTATCAAGTTTCATATTCCCATGCAAAAAAAGAATTAACAAAACAAAAAGATAGTCCTGAAAGTCATCTCCATCGCTTCCCAGCTCATTTTCACAAGAAGATAGCTTTGGATTGAATAAAGATACGGTGACTATAAATCCAATTAGTCGACCCAAGCCAAATTCCAAAATTAAATGAAAAAAAAAAAATTAAGAACAAAGCCAACCATTTTCTTATTGCAAGAAAGAAACAGAGTACAGAAACAGAAGCAAAATAAGCAATGCGGGAAAACCTATTACGCAATTGATACATATCTCAGAAAAAAAAAAAAAAAAAATTGATACATATCTCAGAAGACTGGCTAACTCAATCCCCCTGAACAACCAACCGGGAAGCTCGAAACTCGTTGGCCACATTCTGAAATCTAGTGCAACAAAAGTGGGAAAAAAAGAAAAAATCCCAAAAACAAAGTAGGTCGGCCCACACTAATAAAATAATAAGGTTAACAAGCCATGATAGTACCCGAACCAGAAATCCCACAGTGGACATCGAAGCCTTTGAATATCTTCATTTAAGGTTAAAAACTCAGAGAAAATCTCAAAGGCAAACAGCCATTTCACTCCTCCTTGTAGACTCTAGGGCGTTAAAACCCTAGATAAGAGAGAAGAACAACTAACATTGAAATGGAGAAGGCGGTGGGATTAAAATACTTCTACGGTGGGCTGATTACATGCTGAGGCCAAGTCAAAAACTGGGCGAGAGCAAGAGAGAGAGAAAGAAGACATTAACTACCCGAATTATTCAAATACATTATCAAGAAGTACATACCTTCCTCAGCTAAAGCATTAAGTAGACAAATAAAATATTGAGTAATTTAGAAGGGGAGGTGGCCCGGCATTTCTTTTTGGGTTAAAAAACGAAGGAATGACTGGCAAGTCCCCTGGAAAACTTCAAATGAAAGCTCAAATAAAAAAAATGTTAAGAAAAGTAAAGAACCAGATCTAGCGCATTGCGAAGAATAGGTCAATTAGAACGAAGACATTTGGAAGCGAAAACTTTAATCTGGTACTTGTAAACTAAAACACTAACGAGAATTCATTGATCGGATGAACATTTATCCACTAAATTAGCTTTCTGAATACCCCATAACATAAACGAAAGGAAGGCCATTTCTTCTCGAATCGACGAAAGCAATGATTATTCCCAAATTCTAAATTTCGTCATTTGATACCAGATCTAAAAATCAAAATCACCCATTCATAGATTCATCCAAGCTGAAATCCTTCAAATCGCAAAAACAACTGAGAAGAACAAGTAACAATAACCAAAAGATAACTAAATCGGATCAAATTTCTTACAACTATCGCTCTTTTGTCCGCAGTTTAGATCCAATCTCCCATGCAGCTCGATTTCCTGAAAATACGAAAAAAACTTACTGCCATTGGTTATTTATCAATCAAATTTCTATCTATTAGAACGCCAAAGCTGCTTTCGCGCAGCTCGAGAGCGATGGCTGAAGCCATTACTTCCACAACTGTCGCATGCAGAACGGCAGCTAGTTAGGTTGCATGGGTGCTTCTTTGCATTGGTGAAAATAAATAAAAAAATTAAAAAGTGCTTGATATTGACAAGCATTTCTTTGTTCCATAAAGAGTTAGCTCAATTATAGTTAGCTTTTGTGGGCTTTTATAATGCCTGTCCTTAGGGAGAAATTTACATTTAGGGGTTACTTGGTGATTTGATTTAAGTAGAATTTCGTAAATCCATTAAATATAGATTTTGGAAATTTTGAGGGGCCTAAATTCTGAAATTTGTTTGATAAAATTTATGATAAATCATATTAAATCTCGTATGATTGTTTGGCTATAGAACGGATTTAATGAGCGGACTCTTCCTCTCTCACCAACGGATTTCGTAAATTCGGAATTTAGCACGAAAAAGCAGAATTTTTCGTGCTACTGGAGCAAATTCAGGTGTCCATAGGAACTTTCTCCACAAGAAAATTTATAAATCTCCACAAGAATTTTATCATGGTGAGTTTCAAATGGCATTTTCTTTCTCCACAAGAAAATTGAGAACTTGATAGCTAAAATTACCAATATGAAATAATCTTTGATCTCTATTAGAGTTAACAAAGATTTGGATAGAGATATTTTTTAAGGACCAACTCACCATGCTAAAGGTCTCTATTGAGGAAGAGGAAGAACAAATTTATATTGCTTGTAATAGCCCGTATTCAATAGATAAATAATATTTTATAAGTCATTACAAATCTAATTCATAAATTACTTTCATCATAATATAGATATTATTATGTTTTAATTATAATAATTTTCTCCCAATTTTATGGGCCCTAAAATAAGAAATATTATAACTTTTTAAGAAATTGAGACATATCAGCACAACTGGTTTTCTGGAATCGTTAGACGTCCGTTTATTAAACTGGTTGCATTAGTGCATTCTAGACATGCTAAGCTATTTGATAAACTTTGTATAATTTGCTTACTAATGTTTTTAATGTCCAATACAAATCAAATCTTAAACCAAATCAAAATAATACTAGCAGGAAATCAACACTCGCCATTATTATCAGAGAAAACTAAAGGGCAACAATGATTTTAGTAGTACCTTCAACAACCTAATCCAACTGGTTTCATCATTATTTTTAGTTTGTCTTTAGTATTTATTTTCTCAGCAAATTTGTTCAGATTTTTGTTGTTTCTTCGTTGTTCTGATGATGTTGGATGGTAGATCTTTGCCATTATTTTGGATGCTACCTACCTCATGTAACATTAGGTTTTTTTTTTTTTTTTTGAAATATAATTTTGTACTAATAGATCTAGTGGTAAGATCGTGATTTTAGGCAAATAAATCATTAATAAGAGTACACATTTTAGATATCTTGGGTCTATTGTTTAAAGTGATTGTGAAATAGATGTGAATATTATTAGTAGAATTTAAGCTTGATGGTTAAAGTAGATGAATGCATCAGACTCATTGTGTGATAGAAAAATAGCCCTCAAATTTAAAGGAAAATTCTATAAGATGGCAGTGAGACCTGTAGTGCTTTATGGTGCAAAGTGTTGGCTATTAAAAGAGAATCATAAAATTAAGTGTTGCAAAGACGAGGATGCTCGGGTAGATGAGTGGCTTTACTCTTAGAGACCAAATGTGAAATAAGCATATATGTGAAAAAATTGGAATAGCTATAAGATTAAAGAGAGTTACATTAAATGGTTTTGTCACATAAAACTTCAGCCTTCTGATGACCTATTTAGGAGAGTAATGTATAACATTTTGGCCTATTTTAAGAAAGATAGAGATAGATCTTAAAAGACTTGGTTAGAAAATATTAGAAATTATATATTTTTTACTATATTTAAATGAGAATTTGACTCTTAAAATGACACAATAGAGAAAAAAATATTCATGTTGTTAACCCCACGTAGTATGATAAAGGCTTAACATTGTTGTTGTTATTGTTTGAAATATAATTTTGTTTAGAATGACATAAATATTATTACTTTCTTCTTCTTTTTTTTATAGGAAGGATTTTAACGGAGTCTCCATATTTCTAATGCAATATGCAAGTTTTAAGGGTCGTGAATATGAGATTAGTACTTTAAAGCCTTTTTGTAATGGGGAGAAATTTACACAATGGTTTTATTTGAGACAACTTTTGACTATTTTTTTATTAATTTTGATACGTCATCACAAAATTAGCTTGATCAGGCACGAATCTCGAGGCAAAAACTAGTTGGAGACTTCAAAAATTAAATCCGGGAGCATCCGAACTCCGATTTCAACGAGCTTACAGTCAAACTGAGCGTCTCGGAAATACGAACCCAACAACACCAAGATCGACCCAATCCAAGCCCAAATAAGTCCGAATCAAGAGTTCAAAGCGCTGTCGGAAGGTTCAAACCGCAATTTGAGTTACCAAACGGTCTCCGATTTTGACGAGCTTATACTCGAATCGAACGGCTCGACGAGACGAATCCAACGAGCCCAAGATCACTAAATTCCGACATCATTAAGGCCTCCAAATGTCCAACGAACGGTGCACGATCGTAGGATTCAATATCGGCCGTCCATTTGACCACTCCCTATTCGCCCTTGATCTCACACCTATTTACGGACCATGCCACTACAGAAAATCTATAAATAGAGCCCTCATTCTTCACAAGAGGGCATCGAAGCAAGAGAGAGAAGAAGAGAAGAGAAGGAAGGAGCTCCTCCTCGACAGCCGCCGGACCACCGCCGGACCACCACAGAACCTCGTCGGACCACCGCAGGACCACCACAGAACCTCGCCGGACCATCGCAGAAACCCGCCGGACCACCAC